TATTTCATACCTGATAGCCTCTAGGACAGACGATAAGTGCTCCCGTTGGTAGTTCACTCTCCACGTGTCATTCAGGCATTCGTCGAGAGGCAATTCCATGTTTTGTTCATTTACTCCTACACAACCCAACTTCCCATATTAAACCTAAATTTCCACTTTTACTTAATTTCATCTTGGAATAAAGAGAATCAAATTTTTTATTATCAAAGCACAGCTTATTTTGCAGTTATTGATATTTTACCTTTTTTCTACTATTCAAAATACATAGTGTATGGTACATCAGTGGTGCATACTATTCCAAATGCATACATAGTATATGGTACTTCTGGGGTGTGAGGAAATGTGGCGAGTATAAATCCCCCATTCTAGGAAAGAGAATAGTATTAGATTAAGGCCTTAAGAGGATTTATTTTACCCCAAACTTTGTGGTTACCTACATGAATAACCATTACTTAAAAATTTCATTATTCAACCTACTCTCTCTCCATCTCTCTTTCACAAGCATTTTCATCAAGCCCAATATAATATTAATGCCAAATTTGGAGTGAAATAAACACCCCTAACCCCTTAGATAGGTCAAATGAAATACCTATAGACAGATTAAATATTTCTTCAAAATGGGATTGTGACCTTCTTATAACAAAGATAAATTGTGTTATAGTATAAAATCCCAATAAAAGAATAAGAATAGAAATATGCGTTTTTGCCTTGGCTTACCATTCTCAGTGATGTAGATGATGGGGTTGTTATAAGTATTCTTCATATGCACCAACGCCTCTTTGAGGCCTTGAGGGTACACATATATCCATGTAGAATTCGCCTTCATTGCCAATATTAATCTCAGCTCCAAGACTCAATTTACATGACAGAAAATAAGACTATGTAAATAATGGATTTCATACCTTTGGACCAATAGGAACCCCATTCTTCTCAGCTACAAAGCCTCAAATTATTAGGAAGAAAAATATTAGCAAATGGCAACCATGAAGCCATCAAAGAGAAAAACACAACAAGATGGTTTGATTGTTGCACTTTGGAAAGTTCAACTTTCCAACCCTTCAACATTTGGCTTTTCTTTTATATTCAGATCGGTCAGGAAGTTGGACTTTTGAATCGCTCAAGTGCTAAATTTTTATTTGTTTGAAAACTGAAATTTTGAACTGTGGGTAAAAAGAAAAAAAAAAGAGCTAAAAGATTTAGACCTCACGATAAAATGTCCAAATATGGACCATTATTTAAATCCAAGCTTATTTTGGGTTTATACTTAAATTTCTCTAAAAGCTTAATTAAAAATTCCATACGGACTGAAAAGCAAATGCAAAATTACCACATAATCCCTACTTTTCCCAAATTTACACCTAGGTTCTACTTTTTGTTTTTGGTTTTTTAATTTCTATTTCCCTTTTGATATTAGCAATATCAAACCTTCTTCTTCTTCTTCTTTTCTCTTTTTATTTTTTTTTTTTTTTTTTTGAGATCCCAAAAATACCCCAGAAATTAAACTGTCCCGTATCTTAGGCATGGTCCAACCATGCGGCTGTTTGATGTTGCTAACATCAAATTTGCTCCTAGGTCATGATTTTTTGAGTACGAGGCAAGTTGATATTGGGCTACATTGTCTAATGTTGCTAATGTCAAACCACTCCACATGGGCAGTTTGATTTTGGGGTACCGTACTTCCCTAGAGGTCATAGAAAATATCTCAAAATTGAATTTAAGGCAAAATTGAATTTGAGGCAAATTGGAATAATAAAAACAACCATCCAAAAGTAAAGAGCACGTATACTAAGTTCCCTTGGGAGCATAGTTTACTTCTACTCCCTTAGTCAGAAGACCTACTTGGGAGGATTTTTTCAGTATGAAATTTTGGTAACAACCTTAGAATCACTAGATTATCATTTTTAAAAGACGAAATTTAAATTTGAGTTTTCTAATACTTATATCTCACCATCTATAAATTGGATGATTTCTATTCAATCTTAAACATTATGTTTTTCTTGTGCCTGGAGGGTGTAATTAGGAAAATATTTTTCATTAAGATTAAAATATTCTATTAAAGACGTTATATTTCCAAAATTTGGGGTCCTAAAATTGATCTTAGTTGGGGTTTTACCTGAGGGAGTAAATAGACAGTATAGTAAATATCATTTGGCAAATGTAAAACTTAAGTGTAAAATTGAGAAAAACACGAGCCACGTATTCTTTCCTCTCTGTTTTCCAAAACTTTACCGATAATAGAAAAAGAGCTCAAGCTTAATTGGTTAGCACAGAAGATATGCATCGTTACATCCTAGGCTCAATTCCTGTAAAGGCAAAGGGCCTTCTCCGCAACAACAAAAAAAAAAAAAAAAGAAAAAAAGAAAAAAAAAGAAAGAAAAAAAGACTTTACCCGTGAAACCAACATGTGTGTCCATAAAGTAGTCAATTGGTGGTGTAGGGTGGAGAGATTGAAGATCAAAGGCATAAGAAGCTGTATAGTAATTGATGCCAATGAAGTCATAGGACCCGTTTACAATCTCCTTTTCCTCTTTGCTGAAATTGGGCAATCGATTTCCCACGTATTCTCTCATTACTGCTGGATAATCTCCCCGACTCGCTGGCTCCAAAAACCTATCAATCCATCACCAAACTGCTGCAATTACTCTCTCTTCATTTACTGCATCAACATTAAGAAACTCCTGCCCCCTCTCTCTCGCACACAAAATTCATAAAAACTAAGACATACAATCTCTCACACACAATTCATCGAAGAATGAAGATAACTCTCTCTCTCTCTCTCTCTCATACACAATTTCGAATCTCTCTCGCACACAGATAATTCATCAAGAATAAGAGTTTCTCTCTCTTACACACACATGCGCACACACAATTCATAAGAAATAATAATCTCTCTCTCTCTCTCTAATGAAAAGAGTTGTCTCCATACATACCAGCCAAACATGAAGTGTAGTCCTCTAATGACAGCATGTTGATCATCGGTGGAGTTAGTAAGGGGCACCATCCAATCGCCATAAATACTCATCCCCAGCACCCCATCTTGTGCTTTCTACTCCTCAAACCCCAACAGTTATTGCCACCAACAAAATCAATCCCAGAGAGAGAGAGAGAGAGAGAGAGAGAGAGAGAGAGAGAGAGAGAGAGAGAGAGAGAGAGAGTAGAGAGAGAGAGAGTAGAGTAGAGTAGTAGAGTAGTAGTAGTAGTAGTAGTAGTAGAGAGTAGTAGAGTAGGAGTAGTACCGTAGAGTAGTAGTAGAGTAGTA